CAGGCCTAGCCTATATATCTTAGTTTTCTTACAATAGTACTTGTACCATAGGAGCAACAGAATCAACATACTAGACTAGTTTGTATTTAAACCAGCCAGGGTCACTGTAAGCCAGGAAGTTTTTGTTTTTTTTTGCACAAGAATTGACAGTACTGGTATCTTAAGTAATTATGTTTGTTCAGGTTGATTTTGATGCCAGGTTTATGTTTAACTAAGTACAAGAAGCTTGAAGCTGGTGCATGATTTGACATTCTTCCCTCTTCCTGTCACAGGTGCCAGAAGTCAACACGCAGCTAAACTGTGGATACCAGAAAGCAGACCACACTGTGCCACCTCAAAGTCCTGGCTAGCTACATGTAGGAACTGAGCTTTGAGAAAACAATTCAAATGAAAATTTGTGGAAACAAATGCAATTTATAGTATTGTCACAGGTGTGGATTATTGTCTTATGACTACTGTATGTGATCACATATTATTTCCCAAGAACTACTGATACTTGTAACCTTAAGCCAGCATTTTCATTGTCAGTTTTTGTATGAATATGAGCAGATTAAGAAGTTCTTCAGTAATTCATACGTACATGTGTTGAGCGTGCCTTCTCATAGTTATTGTTATTATATTCAATTATAGAAACATGTTTCGTTCCACCGAGATAGATAACATAACTACAAAAATTATATAACATTCTGAATTAAGATGAAATAGTGTTTATTCCATCCATAATAATGATAATGGTAGCTATTTGTGCAAACGTCTCTGATTGAAAAGTGCCTCGGGTTCATGAGTTTTCTCGGAGAACACTACATTCCCTACTGCATGCATGTTTTGTGGACTCAATGTGTGGCTTGTGCCACAGAAAGTTGCCCTTCTGTACGTGACCCCTACGCTGTAAAAAATCTGGTGAGAACCCTGTATTCTACTTGGTCTCCATTAAACACATGGAAAAACCATATGAAACAATAGGATTGAGGAGAATGGTGAACATTGTAACAATGCTTTGAACATGCATGTACTTGTACCAATGAGGGAAATTTTACTGCTTTACATGTGTACATGAAGGATTTCACAGCTTGAATTGAAAAAATCACTTTGCAGTTTATTCCCCTAATGTGAAAAAAAATGATAAAAAATCACTTGTAGCCCAGGTGCAGAGTGGTCATTGTGTGAATTATTTTGGTATCAGATTAACCATTCAGTGAAGAAGTTCCTAATCTTGTTTGTGATTGTTGAGGAATGGCCACATTGCAGGAACAAAGTTGAGCTACAGTAGAATCAGTCAAGTCAGGTTTAAGTCAAAGTAGTTTGGAGTATTTGTTCAGTCTTATGACTCCAGTATATGATGATGACCCTGTGGATTATTGATATGTGTAGCATTACGAGAAAGGTAGCTGAAAACACTGGTTTCACTGTCATGTGTGTCAATAAAATCACACAAATCTTGCTTTTCAGATGTTGTGTTGAGTGTGTATTTTCCTAGTTATAATATGATATAAAATGAGAAACGTTGTATATGAACACAAAAGATCATTTCATGAATTACAGATCAACTAGAGTTTATTCACGATAGATAATAGTAGTTATTTGTATAAGTTTCCCTGAGGCAAAAGAGGGTCTGTTACACTGACTGAACAAGGTACTGACTTTAAGTAGAAGCTGAAACCTTTCGATAAAATCTATTTATCATTGGTTCACGCCTATCAGCATTCATTTTAGTGCAAATTTATCATCTCTGAAAGTCAACAAAATAACAGGGTATTATCCTGTACACCCAAAAGTCTTACGAACTCGTGTAACACTTAAATAACGGTTAGCGTAGTTAATATAGGCCACTGACTGACTGAGGGGTTGATGTGTAATGATTTCACAAATTACACGTCTGTCTTCTCTCACCGAGATGTGACGTATATATATATATATAGATAGATCTGTGATATTCCTGATTTTAGCATATCGATTCAGTTATACATATTCATGTGTAATCATTAATAGATATATCATCCAAATTCAGAACGAATAATCCAAATAAATGCTTGGCGATATAAAGAGTATCACCTATGTGCTCTGTGCGACCTTGAGCGTTCACGCGAGGAGGCGTCCAAAATACAGACGATTAAGATAATTTGCACCGCATGTAAGCGTTTTTTTCTTAAACGAATATCTCACGTCGTATGTAATTTTATAGATTTATACAAGACAAGGCTAATACACTTATCTAGCTGTCCAGTAAATAGATAGGCTTTTCTTTTATATCCCTTGTGAAGATACAAGGTATTCACGACATGCGAAGTTGATAGAGAAGTACGATTTAATCTCTAGATGGTTAAATGATAGTAACTCCACAAAGATTTTGCCAAACCTACAGTTTAGAGTAACCCTGTACGTGGCAGTTATCTTGTGGTTGCGCTACTTGTCTGGCCACAAGACCGCGCTAACTGTGATATCACTGCTGGCTATATAACTGTCGTTATTCGTTGTCTCAAATCAATAACTCTCACAATGTCAATAAGTTGACTTGCCTTGTAGTTCTAAGTTTATTCATTTGTTTCTCAAATTGTATTATGTGATTTGATTACGTTTTGTATTGTTTTGTCATTTTATTGGTATGGCGGCTCTGAAAAGGTGTTTCATATCAGAAACACCTGTTTCGCCATGCCATCCACAGTGCATATTGTACGTGGTAAAACTCAATAAATAAATAAATAAAGAATTATTGTTTCGACATGAGAATGTGGGTATAGGCTATCAAAGCATTTGCAAATCAGTCCCAAAAATTTGAAAGAAATCTGTTGAGTTCTAAGCGCGCTATGACCGCCGAGATGTTGCGGTTTCCTTGTGGCAAGAAGACGTCCTCCCAACATTACAATTCTAGGACCGCGTCGCATAGAAGTGCGCTTTCATTCATAAAACGAGTAGGGTCTTGTATAGTAGGGACAAAACTCTCACAATACCAGGCTGATGTACTGCTCTAGCTGTGCTGTCAACAAAACTGCTCTTTTTATGCCTTGTGAAAATACAATCTTCAATCGAGATGATATGTGAACTGTGATATGTGAAGTGGTTATGGAAGTTAATCTCAAAAAGATTTAAAGATAGTTAACTCAAAAATAAATTGTGATATCGGCATGGGAATTTGGGCATGGGGTGGGAACGCCTTTGAAAATTAGTCTCTCAAATTTGAAAGAAATGCGTTGAAGTCTTAGCGAAATATAACTCCCAGACCTTTTGGCAAGGAGGCGTCGTCCCAACATTGCGTTCCTCATAGACGATTTTAGGATCGCATCTCACAGAAGTGCGTTTCCCTTCATAAATTGATAAGGATTTTGTATATCCGGACAAAACTTGCACAATACCAGGCTGATATACTGACCTGGCTGTGGTGTTAATAAATTTGCTCTTCCTTCATCTTTTGTGAGAATATAGACCATTCACCTGTCTCTAGTTCTAGGGGCGCGAAGTTGTAAAACGCGTTCCTACCAAGAATTCTTTAGAGCCAAATAGATCACGTTACAATCAACACAGGTACACCATATTTTAGACACGGATAGCCTATGATACTATATAACTTTGAACAAAGTAACTTTGACCGTAACCCAAACCGTTCGTTAGTAATTAGACGAAAACCCGTTACAACTCCCCCATGCGATTTTGGTTCAAAGTGCAGCAAATAAATATTGGGGGAATTCAGGACAATTCCGCAACAAAATTGACTGATAATCACGTAAGACACCCATTATTGGTTAATCTTACAATTCCCTCACAATTCCATCTTTTATTTTAGTTGTAACACATTAAAGATAAATCTAGATATCCTGGCGAGATGCAGAGGAACTGCAGCAAAATAATATTTTTTTCAAGAGATTGCGCAGGGGGGACTCCCTTATCAATATTTCTCAACGAAACATACATATCTGACCTTTGCATAACACAGCGAACCCAAGAATACCACTTTTTATAAAATAGCTCTGCGTTGAAAATTTTTCATCATTAGCATATAAATCCCTTTTCTGTCAATACTGCTTCTTTATGCACCACAGCTACCCCCTCCTTCAATAAATGCCTAGGCCAGCAACTAGTCCATTGTTTCCTCCCTGAGCCTCTTCAGGCTTTTTCATTAAATTTCTATTACAATATGCTAAAAAGCCTATTACCTATACATGTACATCAATATTCAAGACAAAAAGTACTGGAATAATTGCATACAAAGCTTGATATGTCAATTTGCTTGATGACTAGGGATATTCATTGAGATGAAGCTGAAGAACAAATCATGAAGATAAAGTGTGTGACACAAAGACATCATAAGTACATTTTTGGCAAAGGAGATTTGTTTAATGTTTATAAAATGATACCTGCACAGCCATACTCATTATGTATTTTGCTATTTCATTGTTTGATATATTGCAAACAGTGTGTACAAAATTTCAATAAAGTTCATGGTACCTTCTGTGCAAGGATATGATACTTGAACTAATGAAAACTGCTGCCGTTTATATTTAGTCAAAAAAGATAACACAGGCCTTTAGAAAGGTTTGCCTTCAGAAAGGTTTGCCTTCAGAAAGGTTAATGTACAATTCAAGGTTAATTATCAAAGTATACAAGAATACCTTTTATACAAATTACACATCATTTGTGGTATGCTAGGCAAACAGTACATGTGTATTGTATATACAATATACCATCAACATTACCAGAAAGTGGTCAGGTCATTTTACCTAAAAATCAGCTGACATGCCTACATATGTCAAATGTGTTATCTTATCAACACTTTTTTTAAAACTAAATAATAGCCTTCTTTCCAGTTGGGCAAGATAGCTGACTAGTTACAGTGGTGCCTGCTATCCTCTGTTCTCACTGCCCTGAGAGGAAGTCTTGTGCAGAAATCTTGTTGAAGCAAGCTTAAGTGCTTGATGACTTTGACTGTTCTTTTCTCATAAATCTGCTTTCTTATTTGGCACACCGCTTCATTTTCAATGCTTTCCTCAAAGGCGAAGTCCTCCCGGTACTCCTCCATGGCCCTGGAGAAAAATAGAATGTACATGTCTATTTACAGTTGCTAAGAATTAGCAACAAAATTCACAACAAGTGTGAAGAATTAGCAAACTAGTATACTAGTATTCTAATTTTTACATAATTTAAGGCATTTGATAATCAAGAAAACTTGAGTATACTAGTATTCTAATTTTTAGATAATGAATCATTATACAAAATAAGTGATTTACCACTAGAATGACAGTTTGCTACCAGGCTACATTACAAGTATAACTTATAGATTATTTGCCAAACCTGTTTATGTAACAGTTACTTACAGCTACCAGCACTGTACCTGTATGTCTGCCCTCCCCCTTCGCCCTTCACATGACAGGCAGAATGTTATTCAAAGTGCATATTGTGAAAATTTCATAGTGTATTCGAAATATTCGGGCCCATTTGATTCTAATCTGAATGTGATCAGAGCTGTTTTCAATGCTATTAGAATGCAGTACATGTAAGAATCTCAATGCCACCTGTTTGAGAACTGTTTGTGTTTCTGGATATTCTTAAAATTATCACTGGATTCAAAATTTTTACATTTATGCTCATTCTTACATGTATGCCCAGCCTGACTGAGTGGAGACTGGATACAAGGCTATATTGAACAGTGAATTTTAACTGTAGCAGTATTAATCCATTTGAAATATCAGTGCCTTACCTGGTACCGAGATAGAAGGGCAGTACAAATATTTCCTGTTCGATGCACAATTCACCTGCATCACACCTGCACTCACTGGTACTACTAGTAGTTTTATATAAAAGTGTAGGCATATGTGGATTTTTATTTGCTGCATTGACTTTCACATTGTATTACTTTTAAGTTCAAAAGAAATCCTGGCAATGATTTCCAGTTTTCTGTGTAATCTATATAATTCCTATGTTCTGGGTGACAGTGAGTGGTACAGGTAAAATGTGTCTGGTGCAGGTAATTTTCAAAGTTAATGTAACTTACTGGAGCAAAGAAAACTACTAGAAGCCCAGCTTAAGTTCCTTGTACATCAGCATGTGAAGCGGTTCCATTGGGACTCCTTCTGGTTCCCCAGTATTGCATGCTGCGACTCTCAATCCTACCCGCTGCCATTTCCTCTGCTTCGGCGTACTACAATACAATACAAAAATTGACAGAAACAAATGTACATATGTCATATGTCAAATATACATATGCGCATGGTAAATACATGTAGGTACGTATCATTTTACACATCATGACATTTCAGTAACTCCAAAACTACCTTTATCAGGGTCAGTTACTGATACATCAGCCTGGTAAGTGCCATACATATAATAGGTTGTAGATCTTTTTTAAAACATTCACAGTGCTTTTTCTTGCTTTGATTGATGAACTCTTGAATACACAGTGAATTGTGTTTCAATGTATTAGTATATTACAGTAAAAAAAAACTTGCTTTCCCTTTTTGTAGGCTAATAGTATAACTTTGGATAACACCACAACACAGTACCAATTTGATGAGGATAGTTATGGAAGTAAAATATGCCTGATGGGGGATGATAATGTGTGGTGAGAAATGACTTTATCCTTTCCCTTTAATTAATAACTAGGGAGTGACAACTCTGTTTAGCATAAACAGAATGAGGGTCAAAGAAACATGAAATAAAATGCTCATGAATCTGTTTTATGACAAAATACATGTACATATATGATCCATAATGTCAAGGAGGTTGAAAATTTGAATTTAAAAAACATTAAATGTTCTATTTTCTATTTAGATACATGTGTATAGGGAAATAGTAACCCGTAGTCAAACTAATGCTGTCTTAGTGACATGTATGGTCAATGATGTAATGTCCTTCGTAATATGATACCAAGCTCCTTGATAATACTACATCTAGTCAAGTTACAGTGTAACGTATATATTATACATGTAGTAGTTTGATGCTGCCCAATACTCTCCAAGCAGAGGTTTGGGTTTTGGGGGTATTTTTAGCGTGTTTTCAAACTTTGGTGGGAAAAAAATTCAGTGCAAAAGAGAAACCCCGATAAAAAAGGCTAAAAACACGCTAGAAATACCCCCAAAACCCTAACCTCTGCTTGGAGAGTAGCTGCCCAACCCCATTCTGGAATGGAATCACCCGGGCGCGCGTACATTTGAATGCCGCCCCCCACCCCAACACACATACAGACACACACCTACGTATACATATATACCATTACCAAGTCAAATGTATTACATAGGCAGTTGATATTTGACTACTGAAATCTTCTTTTGGCTGCTAGCTATATCCAAACTATTATTCACTGGCTTATTTGCGAAGAAGAGAAAACAGCCCAGTCGTGCCTCAACGCAACGCGGATTTAGCACTTAAACAACAAGGACTGAGAGTCTTGTGAGCTAGTGACTAACCTGCAGAATATGTAGCCTATAAATGGTCCAGGAATTGGTCCAGGTCAGAGTAGAGATGAAGAGAAAATATAAATCGCCAGGCCGTCCCGTCTGTCGTCCATTTCAGCCAAGCCGGCAACCGCAAGTCTAGTCTCGCATTATCTCGCGACGGATTTTACAACTCTCGCGAGGACTACACCCGACCGTTTATTTTCTATACTAAAGCAGTGAGGTTACTAATAACGGTCACATCCTAGGAGGTGAAGAGAGCCTCTTAGCTTATTAGTTATTATATAACGGTGGTCACCGTTAGTAAGTAGTTACTATATATGGTATGTGTATGGGCTGCCCAGGGCTAGCATGGATGATGGTCAAAGTTCCGCATTTGGAAAAAATCTAATAGATCTTTGTATTAACAGTAAACTTAGAATATTAAACGGTAGAACACCCGGCGACCTCCTTGGGAAGCCAACATGCTACCAACCTAAGCGTTGTAGCGTTGTTGATTATGTTTTAGCAAGTGAAACCATCCTACTCCGTAAAACAACGTTCTTTCATGTTCACACGTTATCGCCATTTTCCGACCACTGCAAACTTTCTTTATTGCTAGAGAACAACCCCAACTTACCTGAACAAAGTGAATCTAAATTACCAACACGGCCTTTTCATAAATTTATCTGGAATACAGACTCAAAAGAAAAGTTTGTCAAAATAATCAATTCAACATTGTTCTCATCAAAAATTAGCAAATTTATGCATAATAATTACCAGTCGACACCAGAATCTTTAGACACTGCGTTACAGGACTTTATAACCCCGCTGCAGGAGGCCGGAAGAAATTCTTTGTCCTTGCGCATAACAAAAAACGAAAACAGCAGTGCAAGAAACAAAAGAGTAGAAAAAGATGGTTCGACCAATCATGCGCATCGGCCAGACAAGAACTAAAAAACTTCGGTAGAGTACTCTCGAAAGACCCTCGCTATCCTTTCCTCAGAGGTTCCTATTTCAATAGAAAAAAAATGTACACAAGACTTATACGCAAAACCAAAAAAGACTTCAAAAATAATATTCTAAAACAACTCAACTCTTACTCTGACAACAACCCTTCATCATTTTGGTCACTTCTAAAAGACTTCAAATCCAACAGCACTAGTAATATAAATACACAAGAACTAATCTCTGATGAAAAACTCCATTCAGACTTCAAAAACCTTTATGGTAAAGAATCCACCCCCGGCCCCAACGTTTCAATATCACCCAGCAGCTTCGAAATGGAAATAAAAAACAAATTATTAAAGTTAGAGAACGATTTAAAAGAAAACCCCCTCGACAACCCAATTCTTAGTAATGAGATCATTAAAGCAATTTCTAGCCTTAAAAATGGAAAAGCCTCAGGTAGCGATCTAATTCTTAACGAGATGTTAAAGTGCTCTCCTCACACTCTTATCAAGCCCCTCACCAAACTATTTAATCTTTTTCTTTCCTCTGGATATTTCCCCCCAGAACTGGTGCACTAGTCATATTGTTGCCCTTCATAAGGGCGGACCAAAAGATGACCCTAGTAATTACAGGGGTATTTCGGTCACCAGCTGCCTAGCAAAACTATTCACATCAATTTTAAATACACGCCTAACAACTTTTTTAGATGATAATAAACTAATCTCCCCCAACCAGGCCGGCTTCAGAAAACATTTCAGTACAAATGATAATCTCTTTGTTTTAGACTCGCTAATTACAAAATATTTCCATAACAACAAACGCCTTTATTCATGTTTCATAGATTTTAGAAAGGCATTTGACACTGTCTGGAGAGAAGGTCTCCGTTTCAAATTACTAAATTCGGGAATAGGGGGAATTTCTATAAATTAATCAAATGCTTATATTGTAAACCAGAAACTTGCGTCAAAACAAAATCTGGCCTTACACCGCCATTTGTGACAGACAAAGGTGTCCGACAGGGGTGTAACTTGAGCCCCACCCTTTTTAATTTATTTATCAATGACTTAGTGAAAGAGTTAGATAATTCAGAATGTATGCCACCTTCTTTATATAATCTATATGTCTCTTGTTTATTGTATCACGGCGGTCGGTTGCTAGGCTAAAGTCGCATTACTAGGGAGGTATCGGGTTACAGAACGCGTTCGAACGTGGCCGCGCGGGAGTCCCGGGCCGGCCCGGGGGTAACGGGTAAAATTTGAAAATAACAAAGTAATTGGAGAGTAAATACTCGTCAAAATAAAATGTAATAAGTGATTTTGTTTACCTCAAATGTTATTCTTGCACTGCCTTTGCTCCACTTTGTGTACATTTCCTTCCAAATGAGATCAATTTCGGATTTCAAAAAGGGTTCAC